CCCCCCCCCCCCCCTTCCCTCATTTTCCCACACTCTTTTTCATTTAGCCAAGGTTGTTACAACCTTTTATAGTCCAAATTGCCCTTCTGTCCCTTACTCACATTGTCCTCAAAGTAGTAGTGGTATGAGGTGTAACACAGAAGTGATAGAACTGAGAAGAACATATCCAAAAAGCTGGAAAATTGATAAGAGGAAAGTTATTTACCTGATCTGTGATTCCTCCTTTCCATGCTGGAATGAATATTTGTGGCAGTAAAAACTATAATTTTTAAAAAATTGTATAATCCGTCACCAAGGATTAAGGCAATGGAAACAAAAACCTGCATCAAGAAAATAGAAGGTTACTTAATGTTTAAATTGGAAGAACTTGAATAATCAAATTAGCTATGAAAGAGTCCTTCATTGTGGCTCATTATATACCTTATAACCATTAAGACTCTTCATACTACTTTCTGGTAAACTCTTAGGGAACCATTGTCCTTCTAGTCCCCTGATCAATGGCCACATAATGCCCCATGAGAGAACAGCACCGAGAAGCAAGGATAAGTTGACGAGATGGGAACAAATCATTCCTGCTCCAACATAAGTCATGCTGAAGTCAAAGTAAAATCTGCAAAATTCAAATATTTCAATCAATGATGCACAATTGTTTGATGGTTCGGACTCGCAACAGTAGAAGAAAGATGAAATCAAAGCACGCACGTATTTTTCCATGCTTTCAATCCAAAAGTAGGAAACTGAACAAATCCACATTGTTCTCCACCAGAATAAAACCATTGGAAGAAAGACCAAAGGAAACTGAATGAGAAGAATTTCATGAAACCACGGACCTGCTTCCTGTGCACAATGTAAACAAGTTTTATATTATATACCGATTCGCTTAACATGAAAAAGATAACTAATTTAACTTGAAAAGGACAAAATGACAAGAAAACCCAATTCATACTTGGCCATGCCATCTCCTTTAGGAGTATGGAACCCATTTATAAGAACGGCTGTAGCAGTTCCACTTGGATAAGTCAATTTGTAGTCTATGATCATCATCTGTTAAATAACATACATTACATCAGGATTCAGGCAGCAACACAATTCAAGTTACTCTCAACCAAATTCATCTGAAATTGACATTTTCATCATATCTACATTAGCATTAATATATTAGGACTTGTTTGTCTAACCTTCTCCAGAAACACTAATAGAAGAGAAAAATTCGAAGAAAATTAAAGTTTTTCCATGATATAAATTAATTTATGCATGAGTTAAAAATAAAATTTTAGAGAAACTAATAGGAGAAAACATCTACAAATTAGTTTATACATAAACTAATTTTAACTTATGAAGAAATTTATTTTATTTTTCCTTCCTATATTTTCTCTCCTAGAAGTGTTTCCAGAGAAGTTTACCCAAATAGACCCTTATACTAATAAACTTCAAGAATAACAATCTTTGAATAACCAAATATACTCAATTAATCAAGTGAAAATCATAGAAGAACTTTTATGAACTACCTTCCTAAGGGGAACCAAAGCTGATAGTCCGACGAAGTATGTCACAAAGAGAAAGGCTGTCATCCATCCAATTCCAGGCTCCTTGGTGATAGGAGTATTCCCCGGTGTATCAGCTCCTACTCTCTCATATGTCTTCCTATTCAAACCCAAAAGGTGGGACCCAAAACCACCTAAAAATAAACAAGTAAAAATTCAAAAACCACATGAACAAACACTCTCAGTTATTTATTTATATATACATAAACAACTCAGAAGAATGTTAGTGACACTCTCTATTACTCTTTTTCTAACACTCTTCTTTATTGGCCGAAACTTATTGGAAATTATAAATTTTGTGGGTATCACATTTTATTTAATGAGTCACTCTTTTGATTTAGTGGTAGGACTCACTAAAATTTGTTATTTTCAACCAATAATAAAAAGAGTATTAGCGAGAAAGTGTTAGTAAGTGTCCCTAGATTTCTCACAAATTAAGGAATTCAGATTAAATTGTAAACATAGAGATTTAAGAGAAGTCCCACCTCCGAAAGCAGTGCTATAGCAAGCAACAGCACAAGTCTGAATGAGGGTATTTTCCTGTCTAGTGAAAGGTGTTGAAACAACATTAGATTTCTCAAGCAGCATAGTCCAAGCTCGAATGAGCACATAACCAAGGAGAGCAGCTGAAACATTCAGGTTGGGAACAAGCCCGGTTGTGAGGTTCAGCTTCATCACAATCACACTATAAATGATACCAATGAGGAAGCTAGTTATCAGTGCTCTAATCGTGATTTGTCTTGTCCATGATGCCATAGTGCTCTGCCCCTCTGGCTCCCCAAGTCCTGCTTTTTCAATGTCTTCATTGTCACAACTCTGAATCTCTTCCAGATTTTCACTGTTTGTAGTGCCCATTGAATCAATCTTCCAAGAAAATCAAATGAGTAAAGTAACACTGTTAGAAAGGAAACAATTATATTCAAGGATAGCTAAACCTAGCTAAACCTCTCCATTGTTACATCTCACTAGCCATCACTATTTTAAAAAGTGTCCAATTGAAAGGAGAGAACTTGTACTCCACACCGGATAACAAGTTACAATTTGTAAATTTAACTTCATTATAAAATCTCAAGCGCTAGAAAACAAAAGGAATGAGAAGGAGTTCTTTCCTCTGTTGGAATCTCTATTTTAAGAAGGATCCAAAGTGGGTAAAATTGGCAAGTGTAGATTTGAGTCACGTGTCACCCATCAAGACAAAGATTACAAAAGTTCATCGTAAAATCCAAAGTGATAGAAAACAAAACGAATGAGAAAAAGTTATTTTCTTTTATGCCATATAGACACACATGTCTGGAAATAGAATTTTTTTTTTAAAAAAAATCTCAAGAAGCTACCAAACAATATGACAAATATTTTATAAAAATAAACTAAATCAAATATCGTACCTCAAATTTTATTTTCCTTTTGGGTTATAGGAGAATGGAGCTCAATAACTGGGGAATTCAAATTGGAACCAATATCTTTGCAAAACCTCAATCCCCCAATGTATCAGAAAAGAAAAAGATTGACATGCATCCCCTTCTCCAACTATAGAATCCAAAACCTCCAAATGCTGTTAAGAACCTACAAACACGGGATTTTTTTTGTTGTGCTTGCAGGTTTCGGTGAAAACCAAGTGATGGGTCGCAGAAACTCAATATAAGGTGAGATTAGAATCTCACAAACCCACCAAGGGCTTTGAAAATCTTGTCAGGAGCAATCTCAGAAAAGAGACTGCACAAGCAAAAATTTGCAACACAGTCCGATATTTATGCCAGCAACTGCCAAAAAAGGAAAAAAAAAAAAAAAAAAAGTACATGCCAAATCATTAACACTTCACCAACTTACATTGTAGTACAATACAAAGTGGAAGTGTGCGGTACTACAAAGTGTAATAAAGGAAAAAGAAAAGAAAAAGGCTTAATTGTTGTACTATACTACAAGACAATTTTTTTTTTTTCTTTTGGTTGTCACAAAACACTGATTTGAATTTTGAACACACGTATTTGGCTGTGTATTCGGAACCAAAACTCTTGTGTTTGACTTATTGTTATTTTGTATGTACCCTTAAACATGCAAATGTGGACGTTACAGGTAAACCTGCGATAAACCTGCGATGACATTGACAGTGCATTGGTAAAGAAAAGGGAAACTGAAAGTTAACGTGTGGGAGAGTTAACGAGTATATTTAATGCGTTGACTAGTGAAACCATTTTCAAACTGAATTTGTTAAAGCTTAAACAAATAATTCACTTCTTCCGGATCTTATTATTTACTCTTTTCTATTTTATTTCACTGTTTAAGATTTTAATACCACATTTAATAAATATAATTAATATGTCTGATTTAAAAATAAATTAAATAAATGTTAGAGTAAATTATGTTATTTTTTTAAGAAATGTGAATATTCCACTATTTATCTTTGTAATGTTAAAATATATATTTTAGTCCTTTTAACTTAATGTTATGTAAGTATTATATTATCCATATTTTATATATTAAAATATTATGTTAATTATATTTTTATCTCTTAGAGTATTATATTAGTATTTTCCTATTACATTAATTTTCAGTATTTAACTTAATATCAGTAAAGATTAATCATCATTTTAAAATATATTTTTAATTTAATAATCATTCATCAAGAATATACTTTTAATTAATATATATATATATATATATATATATATATATATATATATATATATATATATATCTATAAATATATAACAAAAATAGTGGCACAATTTTGTGATATCAAAATTCTAGTGATTCATAAAATTCACTTGGCTACAAGCAAGAAATCTTCTTTTCCTCTAGCAGACAAACACAATCAAGAGAGA